CTGGTTTTTTTTCAAACACATTGCACAAGGTCAGCTCAAAATGACTTGCCCGAAGTTTTTTTTTCTTTCTTAGATTGTCACATTTTGTAGAGTTTGGCACTCTCCTCCAGCATGTCGGATGAGCGAGGCGGCCAGTATACTCGCTTTCCGAACTTCCGGCATACTCCTACTAAATTCCCAAGGTCGTTTTTGCTGGCAAGCGAGGAGGGCATGGGTACAAACTCCGTCGAATTATATCTCCTGGTAGTGTCTGCTTGGGCAAAACCTTAGCGCTTGCAATTTTTATTAATTTATAACTGGACCTGAATTGAATATGATTTTATTGTAAATATATACATACTTTGTGTTTCTTTAAAAAAATATGTGTATCTCAACTGCTCCTTTAGTCTTACTTTGTAGCACGCCTTAGAGCGTAAAGAATAAATAAATAAATAAATATACCAGCTAGAATGTTTGAGTTGCAAGGCTTTCTATATAGGTGAGACGGGCAGAGCATTGAACATCAGAGTCAAAGAGCACTTAGCGAACAAAAGACGAGGGAATTCAGTATCGCCGTTGGGAAAACACAGAGTTGAAGCACATGGCGGAACTGATTTTGAGGTCAAATGTTTTATCTTGGCGTACGAGACAGAAATTTCTGCACGAAAGATACTAGAAGCTTTGTGGATCTTTATGAAGAGCCCAAGCATGAACAACAAAATTGAATGCCTATCAATGACAAGTGATCTTTTGCCCTTTCTCTCACTATGTGAACAGTAGCCTGCCGTATATATAGACGTGACACACCGAGTGACACTCAGTGTCGCCCGTCTTCAACATCTCTGCGGCTTTCGTCCGCTACTTCCTGCGGACTACTAACATCCTTACCACGGTGGATCAACGGTCGGTCTCTTCTGCCAGCATGCCTTTCTGTACGTTGTGCATGAGACGAGGTCTAGACTCGATAAGTACGGAGATGGCGTTTGGCGGCGTAGTTTCATAGGTCAAGACTGCAATCATCTTTCAGACCTCCGAAGAAGACGACCTTGTCGAGACGTTAGGTCAAATAAAGATTCACCGTACTATCTGGGCTTGGCGAAAACATCTACTATATATTAGGCTGGTCCGAAAGTTCTTGCGCATCATTTTCAAAAAATCATAACTTCCTTGACACTCGATGGATTTCGTTAGGATTACATGTAATCGAAAGAGGAATCCATGCTCTTTACAGCAGTACCTCCGGCATGAATCACTCTGGAAAACTTCAAGAGTTAGAAGCAGCTGAATAAAATCAGTCAAGATTGGCATTTTTCGAGCCGGGTCACGAAAAATTCTGGAAGTATTTTTATTTGATAGAGAAAATTATGCTCATTACAATGGTACCTTTTTCATGAATTAAAACGAAAAAGATCGATAGTTAGGAGCAAATAAACAAAATTTCTTCAGTTTTGCAATTTTTGAGCATGCTCAAAAAAGCCTTAAAACGTCACAGAAAAGGCGGAAAAGTCATGAATATGGGTTTTGTGACATTCTCTTTCTAGATGAGCGAAAATCGTGCCAATCGGAAGCAATTTTGTTTTCCGTGATTTTTTCGGATTTTCGTGCCTGCGTTTTTCACGAAAATCAAAATTGCTCTCGATTAGCACGATTTTCACTCAGCTAGAAAGAAAAGGTCATAAAACCCATGTTCATGACTTTCCCGCCTTTTCTGTGAAGTTTTTAGGCTTTTTTGAGCATGCTCAAAAATTGCAAAACTGAAGAAATTCTGTTTATTTGCTCCTAACTCTCGATCTTTTTCGTTTTAATTCATGAAAAAGGTACCATCGTAATGAGCATAATTTTCTCTATCAAATAAAAATACTTCCAGAATTTTTCGTGACCCAGCTCGAAAAATGCCAATCTTGACTGATTTTATTCAACTGCTTCTAACTCTTGAAGTTTTCCAGAGTAATTCATGCCGAGGTACTGCTGTAAAGAGCATTGATTCCTCTTTCGAATACATGTAATCCCAACGAAATCCATCGAGTGTCAAGAAGTTATGATTTTTTGAAAATGATGCGCAAGAACTTTCGGACCAACCTAATATATACAGGGTGTCCCAAAAAAATGTATCGAACGTTTGATCGTTAATATCTCTCTTTTCAAGAAGTCTTTTGCCTTGCTTCAGGTACCGTTTTGTAGAGCTGGCTTCAACTTAGATTTGCAGCAAAGAACGAATCACTCATCTCTCTTCATTACTGTAGGATTACGGTAAAAACTTGAAACATATGGTGTCAATTTGGAAAAAACTGCAGTTTCAAAATTTAAAAAAAAAATGTGAAAACTTGTGTATTGGGGTTTTTATGGACGCTGAGTTTAATACTCAACTATTCACAACATTACGAAGCTTTTTAAACGGCGTAACCGCACTTTTTAGGAACACTGAAAAAATGGCCGCTACCTCTTACCTGGCATAACTCTTCAATGAAGCATTATAATAAATTGGGAACTTTACAGTTATAATCAGCAACTCTAATTAGCTTAGTGTAAAAGTTTTCAGGCTGTTTTGTTTCCTTTCTGGGGCAAAATATGGCCTTTCACTGCTTAGAACCCTCTTTGAAGTTTCTACCGTAATCCTACAGTAATGAAGAGAGATGAGTGATTCGTTCTTTGCTGCAAATCTAAGTTGAAGCCAGCTCTACAAAACGGTACATGAGGCAAGGCAAAAGACTTCTTGGGAAGAGAGATATTAACGATCAAACGTTCGATACATTTTTTGGGACACCCTGTATATATATATATACCAGGTGCGTCACCTCTGCTTCGCAGAGGCTCGCACTGCCCTACTTTATCTATGCCTTACTTATTCCCGCGTAATAATTACATTGAAACTCACCGCACTATGTAGGCTACTACGAATGATTCGTAAACAATTACTCATTCCTAGAGGTTTTTCGTGTAAGATCGGTATTTTCGCGTGTGTGAAATCTTTCTCAGAAGAACAGATGCAAATTTGAATAGCTTTTTGGAATTTTTTATGGCTTGGTAGTCGCCATAAGGACAATAAACATCGTGGGCTACATCTCTGTGCAAAAATATTCTCATATAATCAGGTGAAATCTTGAAAAATTGACCGTTTACACAGTCAATGCTTTTTGGCGCTGTTTTCGTAAAGTAGTAGACTTTCCATCACTTTTTTAGGCTAACGTCCATGGCTTGCACATAACTTGCCAAACATATCCATAACTCTGCAAAAAAGTAGTACTACGGACCAAAATTTGCTGGACAGAAGCCAGGTGGATCCGTTTGATGTGCGATTTTCAACGGATCCACTCAACGGATCCGCTCATGCTTTTAGTACTCTGCGTTGATACCACTGCT